CCATCCAAGCAGTGAGGCTACTACAGGGCTGCTCCTGGGGGAAAACTTAATTCATATACACGTGGAGGCCAGCAAGATGGTTAGAGCACCCCAGTGAAGAAAGGCTGAGAGAATTGGGGTTGTCCAGCCTGGAAAAGAGAAGGCTCTGGAGTCACCTAATTGCGGCCTTCCAGTACCTGCAACAGAACATGGAGAGAGACCATTTCCAAGGGCCTGGAGTGACAGGACAAGGGGGAATGGCTTCAAATGGAGAGGAGGTTTAAATTGGCTATTAGGAAAAAAATCTTCTCTGTGAGGGTGGTGAGGCCTGGCAGAGGTTGCCCAGAGGAGCTGTGGCTGCCATCCCTGGAAGTGTCCAAGGCCAGGCTGGACAGGGCTTGGAGCAACCTGGGACAGTGGAAGCTTGAAGTACCTGCAATGGAACATGGAGAGAGACCATTTCCAAGGGTCTGGAGTGACAGGACAAGGGGGAATGGCTTCAAATGGACAGGAGGTTTAAATTGGCTATTAGGAAAAAAATCTTCTCTGTGAGGGTGGTGAGGCCTGGCAGAGGTTGCCCAGAGGAGCTGTGGCTGCCATCCCTGGAAGTGTCCAAGGCCAGGCTGGACAGGGCTTGGAGCAACCTGGGACAGTGGAAGCTTGAGATGAGCTTTAAGGTTCCTTCCGACCCAAACCATTCTGTGATATAAATGTGTATTTATATCTACATATACACACACACACAGAAATTCATACAGATACACACACACACATGCACACACACACACACACACACATATATTTGGCCTCATGTTTAATTGTGGGCCCTGGCCCTAACTGCACTGTGGCATGCAAAGGGTTACTGCTGGCTGCTTTTAGACACTACACCTCTAAAAAAGAAAAGAAAAAAAAAAAAAAAGTAAATGTAACCCTACAGAAATACAGCTCCCTGGGCCTGTGGTAGTTCCTATTAAGATATACAAAGTATCTCAGCAAGGGAAAATTTAACTTACATACAACACATGATTTTAAGTAAAGAAATATTGATGGAGTGGGGTGGGGGGGGAACGGACAAGTATTTTTTTAGCTCTAATTTATGGCTGAGCAGCTTCATTTTAGGTACTTCATGGGAATATTTTAAACCAAGCCTGCATAATATTAAAATAAGTTAAAATGTATGTAAAATTTATGAGAGCATGTCAGGTGCAATGCTTGATAAAGTAAGTTTAATGCTTCAGAATTTTTTTCTTCAGGCAGAGAAAGCTGAATCCTGCAATTCTAGGTTACAGTATAATTTTAGAAACTCTTTTCCATTATACCATTCTTTTATTAATGAGATCCAACCCAATTTAACAAAAAGAGGTAAATTCCTAAAGAGTTTGTGGAAAGTCCTCAGCAGGTTGGAAGCTGGGAGTGTGTGATAAAAGGGGGTATTCTCCTGTTCATAGGATCTATTCCATTTCACAAAAACACAGAGGAAATCAATTCCCAGCAAACTTTCCAAGGGTGCCTCTCCAGTGTGGTTTTCCTCCTGGAAATGCCGCCTGGCTCCGTGAGCAAACAAAAGCTTTGGCAGCTGACAGGGGCCGTACATCACTTTGAAAACTCTTCATTTACTGGGGGTGTGTCATATTGCTTCATTGTGTGACACTCCCAATTATCGTGACAGAGCTAAGTGACAAAGTACTGTCACCCACTGCAGATCCAGAGCAGCTTCTTCCCATTTCCCTGCCTGGTCATGGGAATGTCGCTGAGCCGGTACAAAGGAGCAGCAGGAGCTGCAAGCAGGGGCTGCAATGGCTGCAAACTGCTCTGCTCTATTAAAAATTCAGCTCCTCGGCAATATTAAATCTGAATTTACTTCCATCAAACAGAAACTTAGCATATCTCATTCTTCCATTATAAAATATTGACATCAGGAAGAGTGAATTCTGAAATGAAGATTATAGATGAAAACTATGTGCTTGGTAATTATAATTTTTTTTCTTTGTTATTATTCCTTTCCTCTGAGGATTGCACAGGCTGTTGCAAACAGTAATGAAGTTAGCATGCAATGCCAATGCAAAGTGTGCTGCAAAGTTATTCCTTCCCTCATTATGGATGAGGGAGGCGAGACAGTGGGAGGAGGGAGATTTCCCCAGCCAAACCCGCACACGGCGGGACAGCCCCCACCTCACATCTTAATCAGCATCCCTGGTGAGGAGCCCCTCAGTGCCATCTTGTTCCTGTCTCCTTTTGTTCTGCCATTTCCCTGGGTTTTTTTAGGTCTGTGCTGGAGCTCAGAGCTATTAATATCAATGACACTTTTTTTTGTCACAAACCAAGCAGCCGGTTCACAAATCCTTTCACTGCCCTCTGTCTTGTAACGCTCTCAAATAACCAGAGCACTGGAAAACACAGTTCCACGTGTGGAAATGCCCAGCCCCTCATCCCAACAGCCCTTCTTGAGTCCTGACACCACAGTGTGAAGAGATCAACATGCTGGCCAACCTGATTGGGATAACCCTTTGGTTCCTGCCTGTGGAGACAGTCCATGGGATGGCTTGGGATGGCTTCCACCACAAGAGCCACGGCAGCACCCCCTGAAATTCCCACCTGGCTGATGAACTTAGACCTGGCTGGTGCCTCTCTCCGAGGTGACCACGCAGAGAGGTCCCCCTTGGTGGGATGGGGTTCTTTGAGGGCTTCCTCACAGCCTCTTGAGCCCTGCTGGTGGCCTGCAGATGTTCTTGAGGAGTGTGATGTATCCCAGGTGCGACATCGCATACCGAGTCTGTCTCATGTGCTTCCTACCCAAATCAATCCCAGTCAATAAAGTGCCCACCCTCCTCCCACTGTGCTTGCAGAGGTTCAAAGCAGGACCAATTACTCTTAAGGTGGACTTGTCAGGTGTCACATGAGAACAGAGAAGTTGAAGCATTATGTATAGAAACAGATTTATTCAGAGGACTTGAAGAATTTGTTTTGCTATCAACAGGTCTATAAGAAGTGCTTTTATAGTACAGTCCAGTAGAAACTGATACCTTGCAAAATTATAGGGGGGTGTTTTTTGGGTTTTTTTTCCCCCTTTTCTCTTCTTTTTATACCAATCAAACACAGAGCTGCCCTCCAAAGCACATAAACTCTTACCCAAGCTCAAGGAAGCCATGGCAGCAAAGCTGCTGACCTTGAAGGGCATTTGGTCACATCCCTTCTTGCCAAACACATCCCCTTTCTGGTTCCCATTTCTCCAGGCTTCATTTATATATAAATATATTTGCATGCACTCAGTTTTTTGTGTTTGGTTCCAAAACTGAGAACTCTGCCAGTCTCCAAGTCTAAAGCTTCATGTGAACCTCTCTGTCCCTGCCAAGCCCACAGCATACAAACATCACAGCACATTATATTCACACAAGATGTTCCCAAGTTTAACAGTTCTCATCCCAGAACACCAAACCCCTCTCCTAGCATTCCCAACAAATCAATATGCATTATTATTACATGCTCAGATACTACATCAGATTTCTGCTCATGCCAAAATTTCAGCTAGCTGTTCCCTGGAGTATTTATGCTTGTGTACTGTATTTAACAACAGCCCATTCAAAATGCTCACAGCTCCTAGGAATGAAATGCACATAATTTAGGAATAGCTGTCTGGCTATTCAGGCATCATGCTGTGTCAAGGGAAAATTAAATCTCTGACTCTCCCCCTCTTCTAAAACAAACCTGTACTTTGCATCATATTTTGGGGAGCTGCACAGAAGTTTCATAAAGACCAAGTGGCCTTGACTCTTTTTTCCCTGTTTAATGGCAGTGCCTCCCCATTAATGCTCCAAAATGATACAGTAGTTTGAAAAAAAAAGCTCTCAGCATGCAGGCATTGTATCACATTAAGAAATCAGGATTTTCTAGGCACTGCACAGCATTAATTACACTGAGCATGCTGCAAATTTAAATTAAATGATATGCTATGTTCTGTTGTAAATATCAAAATGGATTGCAAGATAGAACCCCATATTGGCATTTGTGCACTGAACAGGATCAGAAAACCTCTATGATATGTAATTTCTTTTTATTTTTAGCATATGTGATGCAAATGTGTTTTTTATTTTCAGGAGTACCTAAGAGCACACACATGTACAGGTTAGAACTTGTCTGTACTGAAAAAAAAACCCTAAACAAGCCCTCTCTTAATAATAACAACAACTATAAAAGAACAAAAAAAAAAAGCCCTCTTTGCCTTCATTTCCTTTCCAACATAAAAAAGAAATTATGCTTCTCTTCCCCTCCAACAAGTATTTACAATGTAGGGAGTGGAGGACACTGAGAGGAAAATGGGGACTACGAGGGGCTGGAGCAGGTCAGCAGGAAGCAGGAGGATATGATTTGTCATGTGGGTTGGAGTACCAGGATCCCATGGAAGCAAATGCTGAGGGGTTCAACTCACTCAAGCAGGGAAGGGCTGCTCTTGCAGCTGGAATTTCAGACAGGAGCAGAGTGAGAGGTGAGCTGGAGCTGTCTCAACTCTGTGGTGATGAGGGAATCCTGATTTGGTGATGCCATGGGAAGAAGTGTCTGAAGAGAATATAAACAATGAACGAAAGCTCTGTCAGTATTTGTACTTTTCTTGGCATTGGTATTTTACAGTTTTATCCTATCAGGGTGAATGGTCACAATCTCAGCAGCCTCTGCCCTTAACAACTGGATGAGAAGTATTTCTAGTGTAATTTCACATATGTCTATGTGACTAAATACTAGACAGATATTTTATAACTTTGCACATCAGGGAAAGGATGGCATTTAGTTAACTCTATAGAAAAGGCCTTTAAAAATTCCATATTTTGGGGGGGCTTATTTAAGGCCTTGATGAAGTGATGAGCACTGACCTGAGACCCACAGGTGAGTGCCAGTCTAAACTGGCAAAGGCATGAAGGAGACACAGCAAAAGTGTGGGCAGGGACATGCAGAGTCACTGACTTTTCTTCCAACCCAGCATCACCACTTTCTTTCTAAATTATCTTCTCTGTGTCTTTTGCTCCTAGGCCCTGTCTTCCTGTCCCATTTTGCAGCAGTCCTGTGTGTGGGAGAAGTACAACTGTGGGACGCCTGACGAAAAGAGGTGGTTGAACAACTGCCCTTCAGCTCTGTCACCTTTTTTCAGTGCTTGCAAAAAACAACAACAACAACAAAACCACAAAAAACCAACCACACACACAAAAAAAGGACCAAAAAATTCGAGCCAAAGATAGTTTATGTACAGCTCAGGAAGCTCTCAGCAATGAGTGTGTCTGTGATTTAATAACACATCTCCCCAGAATGATACTTCTTCTACTACTCACTGTGAAAAAGAAGGCAGAGCAGCACACAAGGCACTGCTATTGCAGCAACAAGCAGCCAAACTACCAGGTATTTATTTTTCAATGTACACAATTACTGGGGAGAATAAAAATTATTCTTTGACGCTCTGACAGAACCGTAAAAAACCCTGTGCTTCCCCTACTCCCACAGTCCTGACAAGAAACACCTCACAAATTCTAATAAATAGAGAATAGAAATAAATACTTTAACTACACAGCATCGGGTTTCAAATGGCTTCCTGAATCAGAAAGTGCTGCTAGTCCATCTTCCTTATTTCCACACTCTGTAATGGTGGCTCTCCAAAAGTCAAAGTGAGATGGATACTGCAAGAATCACAGACACTACACTGGGAAACCAAGTATCAGTGGGTACATCCAGATTTATGGTAGGTGATGGCAGTAAAGTGAAAGTAAAACTGTTTGCACAGGCTGTATTGTTGGCCATTACTGTGTATTTGCCCTTTTTTCTTGCTTAGCTGCAGCTGGAAGAACGGAAAATTGTACCTTCTATCCAGTATTAGAAGACACTTTCTGATCGTAAGGTCAATCAGACTGGTTTAGCTGCTTGAGGTATTTATGGCACCATCACTCAGTGTCTTTAAGGAAAGGTTAGATACATTTATGGGAAAGGTATTTTGCAGAAGCTTTCCTGCTTCATAGAGGTCTTGGACAAAATGACCCAGGAGGCCCCTTCCAAGTCTATCAAATGTGGTTCCCTGATTGATGCTGTTTCCCCCCAAAGTCTTTTCAAAACACAAAGCACCGTTATAAAATTTAATATGATACACTATATAACTTTAACACAATGCCATTTTCTTATAGGAAATGGTTAGCTGGTAGCACAGGAGCCTCGTGCAAGAGGAAAAAAGGTAGAAAAAAAGAAATTGCAGTGCAGTTTCTCTGCTGAGGGATATTGACTATAACATTTACTCCGTGTCTGAGCACGGACTCTCAGCTGTGCAGGGGGACACCAAGCCAGGGAAAGTATAAGGAACCCAGGCTTATTTATTTCTCCAGAAAAGCCTGACGAGGCCTGAGGTAATTTTCTATGCCATGCAGTAATCATTCCCTCAATGCTGGGAAGCAAATGGACACACAGCTCTCCTTGTAAATCACTGCCTGGTGCTGGATCAGCTGGGCCCGAGGCGGAGCTGCCTGGGCAGTCCCAGCGCCCCTGCACAGGCACAGGGCTGGAGCTCAGGTGTGTCCTGCACCACTGAGGACAGCCCCAAGGAGAAGAGCCTGTTCTGTAACCATCACTCTGTGGCCTGGCCTGCTGCCATCCCAGCTGCACCGTGGAGCAGGAGTGAATCCCTGAAAACCGCAAGCGCCAAAAACCGCGCTTCTAAAAAAGGGCAGCAGCACCCCGGTAACGTGTTTGTCTGCTGACTAAAGACTCAGCCAGAGAGCCTGGGCACACTTCCCCTGCCTGAATACGAGATTGTTTGTCAGGCAGAATGCTCTCCAGGTCCTCTCTGTTTCCACCAAACCATTCAGTAAAATGACAATATTCTTCACCCTACTATACTTCACTTTTTTTTTCTTTTTGTTTTAATTTGATGACTGTTTCCTAAATTTACTCTTTTTTTTCCTTTGAAACCAATAACTTATTATAAAATTAAAGTCATGTAATGATTTAAAAAAAAAAAAACCAAACAAGAAAAACCCAAGCAGATCCTCTAGGCCATCTGGTTGAAATGCTCTGGTCAGCCTCCACTGCTGTGTAGTAAGTTTTAATTTTAGATTTTCACAGGGAAAAAAAATACACAGAATTTTATTGAATTGGAGTTTACTCTCAAAATAATTTTATACTAACCTTTTTATTTCCACTCCAACTGATTTAGTTAAAGGCCAAACTCTTCTTCCAAAAATCAGCTCCCAGCCCCCACCGTCTTGGGATAGCCCTGACAGGAAATAACAACATCCATACACAGACACTCTGAAGCCTTTTGAAGTCTCACAAATGTGAGCTGTTCCCTTTTGCAGAGCAGGCTGGGATTAACTCTTTTATTAACCTCGTAACCTCATCCATGAGAAGGAAAAATAGCCAATCCCTTTTATTTTATTTCTTTTAAAATCTGGATGTGTGCTGCCTTCTCTACCCAAACATTTGTGAGCTCACCCTACAGACAGGAGCAAAAAAGCCCATGGAAAAACCCCCTCTCCCTGAGGAGCTCCCCAAAGCCCCTCTTGGGCCCTCCCATTATGTTGCACTCAGTGTCAAAGTTTGTGTTTTCACTGGAAAATATTTTTGCTTTACAGGAGGGTTGTGTCTCTCTGTATTGGTGGGAGCAAATAACAACCTTTTGGTCCTTTTCAACACATTGCATCAATGTATTTTCCTGATTCCCATGTCAAAAAAGCGTCTTTTAGCAGAATGAAAAATCTGACCTGGGTGTAATCCTGACAGCGCTCCAATTGCTCATCCTTAGCTTCATCCTGCACTGCAGTGCAGAGAAAGAGGCTCACATTGGAATAGCTCTTCTCACCAGTGTCAAAATAGTAAAAATTTGCTCAGAGAGTGACATGAGCAGGAATTTCAAAGGCAGGAAAATTTATCTCCTGCTCTTTGTCTTACACTATGGTGCACTGTGGTGGTTGGAAGATTTAACTTCCAAGCATCCCATCTATATAAATCCTAGTGGAAAACAACTCCCCAGCTTCTTTTTTTTTCCAGGGTGTTGAGCTCAGCAGCTGGAATCTGCCAGGGAATGACATTCAAGATAAGGATGGAGAAAAACTTCCCTGTAGCCTTCAGGTGTTGGTCAAGGGTCAGGATTAGGGAACAGCCAAAGCCAAACAGAGCTCTGAGTGTTACACAAGGTCACGGCTCTTTGGTGTAAGGACAGGATTTTGGGCCAGTCCTGCCTCTGCCCTGCTCAGCTCAGCCCATTCACTGCTCTGGTGATACAGCCCCTCTTGGGCTTTCTGCTTTTCAAAGATTTACATTCGGTTTAAATCTCAATCAAAAGCTCCACTTTAGCTTTTAGGAGGCCAAGACACTTAAAAATCTCCAATGGGAAGGACGAGTGAGGAAGGCAGAATATCTCTCCCCTGCAAAAGCATTCAGATACCACTTGGATGAGGAGTTCCCAGCTGCTTTGCTGGATAAACAGACACATCACAGTTCTAATGTGCAGGGGTGCCCTTCACACCAACAGGCAGAGAAAAAAGGCAATGGGAAGAGTAAGAGGCACCAGAATAAAAAAAGGCAGGATCCAACTGAAATTCTACCTTCTTTGATTTTTGAAAATGGGAAAACCCATTCGGGATCAGAGATTTCCAGACTGGGCTGTATGCACCATTAATTGTTCCATGAAGCAGAGCTGGTCTGCTATTGTTGCATCCTCCAAAAACAGCTGTTACTATGAGCTCTGTGGGACTCAGGAACTCCATTTCCCAGTTTTCACTTAGTACTTCAGTGATCATATATAAATAGTAGTAATGATAATCATAACAATACCTGGCTTGCCATTATGTTGTACTCAGTCTTTGTGATACTCTCTCACGATAAAATCTGTGTATTGAACACTTTAACTGAAACTCTTAATAAAACAGAGATATTTTTACTTGTGCTGTTACATTCACAGAATGGTCATAAAGCACTTTACAGAATCAAATGGAAGTAGCCAGTCTGATCCTTCTACAGAGGATTTTGTGCATCTCAGCAGTGTGTAACAAAGCTGCTGTATAGACAAGTAACTGTCAAACATACCATGCTTTGGGGTTTGTCCTGGCCGAGCAGCATCCAAAGGCTTGGGGTTTGTCATTTAGATTGGCTTCAAAGTCTGTAAAGCCACCACAAATTACACGACAAGAGGGACTGGATGGTCTCACCGACAAGACAAGAACAGGCTGTGATGTCTCATTATCAAGGTCCCTGGGTCAGAAAGAAAAAAAAAAGAAAAAAAGGTTATCAGTTTCCTGGTTTAGGAAAAAAGCCATGGAAGTCTTGGAGCTGAGCACTGAGCAGCCTCCATGGGGTCACTGCAAGGGGACAAGGCAAGTCCTGGCCCTGCAAACACTCATGGTAAATGGTGCCTTCTGAGGTCTGAGAGGGTCTCCAGCTTTGGGCCCTGTACCAGGTACTTCTGGAGCTGTGAGATGGTGAAGGCCTTTGTTCCCTCCTGTATAATTGATAAATTACCATTGTTAGTCCTAAACAATACAACTGAGCACAGAATGGAAACACGCTAATGCTTTATCCAGCTCCAGCAATTCTGCTCCTGTGCTCACACTGTTCTTAAATGTGCTAGGTATTTGTTTGATGAAACAATAAGTTTTAGAAAAGAGAAAAATAAGAACTTCAAAGATAATAAAAACCTTGACTACATACTTTACCACAGGCAGCTGTGAATAAGCTTCAGTACTCTTTATTTTTAACATTCCAGATATGTAATTTAATGCAGGTCTAATGACAGTCTCGAACATACTGCTTTAATCGAAATTGTTCAAGCTCTGTTCTGTGACAAGGGCTCACAAGATACCAGCAGGGTTGTCCATTTTCCCCACTTCTGTAGGGAAAAGAAAAGGGAGGGGAGGGGGACACTCTTGAACCTATGTTGCTATTGATGTGTAATATACAATGAAAAAACAGTTAAATTTCAATTACCCACAGGTAATTATAATTTTATTGTTTGACTGTACTATGGGGAATTTTGTAATTCCCAAGACTAATAATTTTCTATAATTTTACAGGTTGTCAAATAAACTATTAAAGATTATCTTTGAAAAGGATTCTGCAATTGTAAGGACATATCACACTGTTCCTGTACATTATTAGTAATTAGAGATCCCTGGATAGTGAAATATCCACACTATATGCTAGCTGCTGGATACCATATTTTCTCACAGCCTCCTGTAATCTTGAACCAGAGCTTTCAAACTTCTCAGCCATTGTAGCCTGAGTCACGTCCAAACTTTTATTAATATTCACTGAGCACTCATTAAGCAATTCTGGTGCGTTCGATCCGTTAAACCTGTGCTTCCTGACAGGGAGAAGCAAAGGCTCCCAGCTCCATCCCAGAGCAGTGGAAACAAACACAAAAGGGCTCATCCTGAACTCTGTCCCCTGAAGAGGAGACAGGGAAGAAGCAACGTTTATACCAGCACCAAATAGGTGAATCTGCCCCGACAATGCCTTTTGACAATGACGTGGCTGGCACAACAAGATGGAGTTGTGCTTCCTAAAAATATGTTATCCTAAAAATATGCATAGATGCAGATATGCTGAGGATCAGCATTGCATGTCCACAAGGAGGGGAATGGCAAGGGCAAGGTCTCCAGCCCACAAGAAGCAAATGAATTGGGACTATTTCTTCATGCTCATCAGCAAGTCCCCCAGATTTACTGGGGTATTGGTGAGGAACTCCCCAGCCCAGCAGATACCAACATCTGCACAGCTGAGCAGGCAGCAGCAACTTCTCCCAGGTAATCTGGGTGAAGCCAGGGGCCACTAAAGCAGCATGTGCTGGGTGATAGCATCCCTTACAGGGCGTGGTGAGATCCTCCCAGCCTTGCAGTGCTGAGGAGGAGCAAGGACGGATGAGCTGAGAGGAAGAGCAGCCCCTGAAGCGTTGCAGGAGCAGCTGGCACAGCCTGTGAGGGCAGCGAGCTGGGGTTCAGCAGCTGAGAGATAGCTGAGCTCTCGCCTGCAGAGCCATCAGAGGCACCATTCTTAGCTGGCAGCATTGTTTATTGCAGATGCCCCAGGAGATCATCATTATTTGTTTTATCGGCCTCTTGGATGGCTGTGTGGTGAGGGCTCTCAGGACATGGGGACTTTCAGGCCTCCAGCCCTGGGGTTTGCACAGCCCCAGCCTGCGGGGACACCCAGCAGGAGCAGCATCTCAGGGCTCTGGACCCATCTGCAGGAGGGGTGTGCCCTGCTCCCGGTGCCAGGAAGGCTCTGTGGCAGCTGCAGCGCTCAGCAAGGGGCCTGGAGAGGGATTTCCCTCGCACCAGGGAGCCGAGGGTGGATGTGTTGGTTTTACGGCGGTGTGGAGCTGGTGGAGCAGTATAAAGATACGGGAGCACAGGGAAGGATTAAGGCCAATGGACTGCAGCTCCCTGCCTTCCTCCAGAGACAACTTGGAGCCCATCAAAGGTATTAAATCTGAGGAGTCACTGTAGACATACACATGCGGAGCTCTCTTTTCTGAGGCCTGCTTGCCTCGCTGTCCAGAGCTCATCCGGCACCTACGGGAAGGTGTGGGAAGAGGGAAGAGTTGATAATTTGGAAAGCTCGTCAGTCAGTGGCATTCCCTGCTCCTGACCGGCCTCTCTGCCTGCTAACCCAGCTCAGTGAGACTGAACCCATTACTCCAGATGATGGGCATTTACAATAAATAGAGGAAAAATCCAAAGCCCACAGAGAAGGCTCAATGTGCTTCTGGATAACAGACAGCACCATATACAAACACAGAGCCCTCCTTCCCCTCAATTCTGGTCTGTGCTTTTCCTGCTTAACACATTCCTTGTTGAAAGGAGAACACGTTCTGACAACTGAAGAGTGAAAGCAATTAGAAACAGAATTAATTGATAAAATTAAAGCCCTGCTTTCCTTATGTTTGTCATATGACTACAAATATTGTCACTCCCATTAATATTAATTAATATAATTATCAATGTTTCTAATCCCTACACATTTTGTTGAAAAGTTACTCTTAGCTCAAGAATATAATTGTTAAGTCGTGGAAATGTTAAGTAGCAGCTAAGCAAGTCCAAAGAATTAATAGCAAACTGTAGTTTATCCAGGGATTAGACTTTTAGCAATACATAATCACCTCTTCATGTGTTCATCCACATAAAATACCTTCCATCCCTCACTACACTTCTGCCTACTTGTCCTTGCAGTGCACAGTTTTCAAGAATTAAAAAAAGACACTAAGTAAATATTCTATGCAGTTGCACGCTGTTCTTCAAGGTAAGTCAGTGCACCAAGAGTTCTGTGCCCACAGCTGAGAGCAGTGTCAAGGTCAATTATCTCAGGCTGAAAGCCCTAATGCAGGATGCTTCTGTGACCAGAATCATCTGTGTAACTCTGCACAGCCTTTGTTTTGGAGTCGAGCAAAGCAATCCCTCTCTCACCCAGCTTCCCCACGCGTTGTCTCTCAGTTGGAATGTCACAGATTACTGGAATAATCCAAAGGGCTGCCCTGCCATGCTGCTGCCAGCTGGGCAGCCTCTCCTGGTGGTACCAGCAGCCAGGGCACGGGCGCTGGAGCAGAGCCTGCCCGCTCCCTCCACGGACACTCAGCCGCTCCTGCCTGGCACAGCAGGCAGCAGGGCTAGGTGCAGGATTAATCAGCTCTTTTGGAAAACAGCCAAAGTGCTTTAAAGGCCTTTGTTGTAGGGTAGAGGGGTGTTTCTGCTAGAAGAGAATAATGTAATCATTTTGCTATTAATTTTTAATTGCATGTTGCTCTGCATTATTGCCAGTCTATACTGATTTTCCTGAGAGAAATGAGGATGCTGTGCAAGTGGTTTCTGTTAGGAATGCTGTTGGGCCACGCTGGAAAAGAAGTGACAGAAAAAAGCTGTTCTTCAAAGTTCCTGCAGTCACCTGCTGCTGTCTGTTCCTACAAGGTATCACATTAAATACTTACAAAATGTATGAGCTTAAGAAGACTCATGGAGAACTGCCACAGTTTTCCCTGTCATCAGGTGTTTTTCTTTGCTTGTTTTTGTGGGGGTCTGTTTCTTTTCTTTCCTTTTAATGACCACCCTTTGAAAGGAAAAGTTACTTCTGAAAAACATTTTGCAGGCAAATTAAACTCACTGACATGGATGAAATCAGTAGCAAAAGTAAGAAATACATGAATTCTTCTCAGAAGACAATCTTTATCAAAAATGCTAAGATGCAGCCCACTGATACAGTTAAACTTTCTGGTAGAAACATGATTGTATCACTCACTTGTGCCCACTCACAAATCCTTCATTTCATCTAAGAGAAAACTGGCCATAAGGGGACAGGAAATCTTTAATCTGTTTTTCTCCATTTCTTCAAATATCTGGTTCTTATCAACCCGCATCAAACACGAGCGACACAAAACCCTCATGTCCTCCACTTCATAAAACAAATGCAAACAAAGCACAGACACGTCTCCAGCGTGAGATGGATTGAGCACAACAAAGTATTGCATGGCAGCAAGGCTGCAGAGCACTCCTGGAAAGGCAGCACTGGCTGCACATTCAGGAAGAAATCAATTAGACCAAGAAACAACTTATGTAGAAAAATCTACATTTTGGCACTGACCTAAGTATCAGGAGGAGAGTAAAATCATCTGTCCCCCCAATATTTGAATATTATCATTTGTAAAGAAAAATCATGGCTTTTTTTCCCCTTGAATCCCTAATAGCAATTATGTTTTTCAATATAATAACACTTGTATTATACCATATCCTATAATATATAATCCCAATCATAAACCACACTATGGTAAATATTTTTATAACTATATATTATTGTATTAATAAAATAAACATATAAATATATAGTTATTTCGTTTAAATAGCCATATACTACTATGTGTTAAAAATAATTTTATTTTTGGTTCATTGGTTTATTTTTATTCAAGGTTAACCATAATTTTTTTGACAGCTGGGAAATTATGGTATAAATTTGCAAAGTTTGCACCTTATTCAGTTGAATTAGCTTCAAAATAGAAAAATATATATTTTTTTTTTTATAAAGAGGAATTAGACACATTAAATTTTCAGTTAAAAAGAAAATATCCAGAAATTTTCTATCTGGCCAGTTCTAGACTGCAGTTTTAGTCCTGGCATAAGCCCATGATCATCAGTGAAAAATGTGCTTTTGTCTTCTCCATATCCAGGGGTGATCCAGGAAAGCTCTGAAACATTCACAGTAAGTCCAGT